AGATTTAAATTGAAATCTTGAAATGTAAGTCTGTAAAGCTCTCTAAAATTGAGACACAGAGAGAGACACGTAGATAGGAGAGAGAGAAAGAGAGAGAGACATTGATCTTTGAGATTTTTAGATTTTTTGCCTATCTGTTGTTATTTTAGATGTTTTTTTTTCCCTCTATTTTTGTTGTTGTTGTTGATGATGATGATAATGAACAAATAAGGTTTGGTTTGACTTGTTATTGCAACAAATAGGGTTGAGTTTAATGATGGACAAATAAGGTTTGGTTTGACTTAGTATTGCAATAAATAGGGTTGAGTTGGCTCAACAGATAGGGTTTGGTTTTCCTTGTATTTCAGCAGATAGAAAAAATAGAGATATATAAAAATTGAACAGATAGAATTTTGAAAAATAGATTATAAGCAAAAACAATTGAGGAGATAATAAAATTTTGAACAAATATTTGAATAGATAAGGGAAAAATTTGAACAGATAGGCAAAAATAAGATTAGATAGAATTTTATTTGGACAACAGATAAGCAAAATTTGAATTGAAATGATTAAAAAATTAAACAAATAGGGTAAAAAATTAGAAAAGATAGAGAAAAATTTGAATAGATAGTCAACAAAAAGTCAAATTGGAAACAAAATGTCTTATAGGACTTTTTACCAAACTATTTCACAAAACGTGAAACTTTCAACAGCAAAAAATATTCTCTGAACCTAATGCCTTAGACACTCTCTAAATTGGATTTATTACGAATTTTTTCATTAAGATAAATATAAATAGAACTATACAATTTATTTAAAAAATTAAATATAAATATGTTGTGATTAGATTAAGAAGAAAATACATAAATTAAATATGTAGAGTATTGATTTTTTTCTTCAATATTTGTTTTTGAATTATTCATACATGTTGTATATAGGTATATAAATTTTAAATTAAATATAAACTTTTTCTAATAAATAATTTTATGTTAAATAAAAAATTAAATATAAATTAAAATTAGGATATCAATAAGATAGACAAAAAATAAAATATATATAAAAAAAAAATTTGTTCTGTGCATTACATATAATTAAGCACATTTTGTCTTATTTATTTATTTATTTATTTGTATATCGAGATTATTTTTTTTTTCAAATATCGTAATAATTAAATTAAAATATCAACTATATAAAAGAAATATATACATGATGAGAAATATATAAAAAAATAAGTATTTCTCAAATAGAGTCTGTACGGGGAGTAAATAATTTTCACTTCCGTATTCCTTGCCTCCGTGTTTTGTTTACTTTAACAACGTCGTTTTTCCTGTAAACACAACAGAGTTGAGCTAACCGGCAAGTGTCTCACCGGAAAATCCCTTTGATGGTCTAGTTAGCACCCTTAGAGAATATAAGAGAATGAGAGAGTATTTTGGCTCGAGATTGCTTACCTTTCAGAATGGACTCGTAGGTCTTATATAGATAGCTTGACTTACTTCCCCATGCAGCGCACATTATCCCCATTGTCTTAGGGCAAGGACATTCTGTTCCATTATTCCTTTACATGCGTGTACTTGTCAGGAACAACACTAACTTGGACAGGTCACTGTTTGTCCTCTACAAACTGTTGGGGCACGAGAAGCACTCAACCGAGACACTTTTGGCCGAGCTAGCAATAGCTTGGTTAGGATTGTGATCACTACCCATGAGACTCGCGTCGTGTTGCCATTAAGAGCTTAACCAAGCTATCAGCTCAGTTGGAAATATGCAAGCGCTGTCATTGCCCTCCATCCAAGATCCAATCCTATTTGCTTCACCACAGACCGGTGGATTTAACTCAGTCTAGGCGGCGAATATCTCGGCTGAGCAGACGGAGCTCAATCAGCATTGTTGAGCGAACTCAAAAAGTACTTTAGTTTGGCCCAGCTAACCACAAAGCGGTGGGCCGAACCTGGCCCATCATATTGACAGGTTAACCCCATTTTGCACGGTCAAAACTCCTCTCTCATAGTCCATATAAAATTAGTTATTATAATTGAAATTGAATTTATGTAAAATTTTATATGTAAATAGAAAATGCATTTTGATGTGACTTTGTTTTTTAAAAAAATTAAGTCTTTACAATGTGCCACCTAAATAAATAAATAAAAAACTACTTATATATATATAAGATTCATCATTTATAAGATATTTATGTCTTATTCTATATTTAATCTGATGTGTTTCTAACATTACTACACACATATAAATAAATAAAAAGTGAAAAGAGAATTGAAGGCTGTGTTTGGTTATATTTTCTAATCATTATTCCACCCCTCCGTTTGCATGCATTATTTGGATGAAGTTTTGAAAATGTGATTCTACCACACATTTCAAAACATATTTTTCTTTCATGTTTAGCAGATTCGTACATACTCTCTCTCTCTCTCTCTCTCGTCTTCTCCATTATGAAAAGTAAAGGAGTTTTTGAATTTTGAATCTATCCAGTCATCCTCCTGGACGTTCGGTTGGTCGATCATTCGACCGGTTGACCGAAACTGTGTAATTTTTTTTTTGCAATCACTAATCGCCACCTGTTATTTGAAAAAAAAAAAAATTTATATTTGTTTTTGATATTTTTTTAATTTAGAAATTATTTTTTTAGACCAAAATAACAAATTATTTTTTTAAATTGAATTTTAAAAAGAGTTTGGTTATGAATTTTGAATACTAGAATTTTCAATAGAGTTTTGAATTGTATGTTTGGTTATGAGTTATAAGTTTTTGAAATAAGTTTTGAAAATTCTTTTCAAAACTTATAATTAAATTTTTTTTCTCATTTCATATGTCATATCAAAAATTTAAAATTCAATTCAAATTTTTTTTCAAAACGCATAACCAAACAAAATTTCTTTTTTTAAATCATAATTTCAAAACTCACAAACTCAAAATACAACTTTATTATTAAATCATAATCTTAAAACTCTACAAAACACCACCATTTTTTTTTCCTCATCTCTTTCTTCGCCCTTTATGGAGAGCATTTATCAATCCACCCCATTTGGGTTCACGCTTGCCGTTACATTTCCAAGTCAAGAAGACGTGTATATAGGACTAGTTCAATTCCACTTTTTTCACGCCCACCACTTAACTCTCGACTTATACGTTACCAATATATATTTTTTTCATTTTTCAAATCCTATGCATCTCTCTCCTGTCACTTTTAGGACTGCTGCCTTTTCCTTTTCACAATTATTTTTCCTATATTAGTTATTTTCTGATTTTAGTAAATTCATAAAAAAAAAATGTCAATACCTTTATTTTTTAAAATCCTTTTTCTAAATATAAAAAAAATTGGACCAAGTTAAAAAAAAACCAAAAAAAACATAAATTAACTTCACTACAAATAAGCATAAAAAATTTGGTCAATAAATAGTTTTTTGGGAGAGATTAAATTGGTTAATAAATTTAGATTTTAGGCCTTCACTAATTATTTTTTCCCCAAATTTAGTATAATATTTGCAAATTTTAAAAACTTTCTTAATAAGTATTAAGTGCATAGAAGAAATCACTGAAATAGATTTCAATGATGTGGGGTCCGTTTGTGAACGATGATGCTACATATATCAATTGATATGTCAATTAGTATACTAATATATGTCATGACATTATTATTGACTCCACCCGTTATATAAATTATGAATACTCAAAATCTTTAAAATTATGCCACATTATCTGTTAATATACTAATTAATATATTAATTGGTGCATATAGTATTATTTATGTGCGAAACTCACATGAGACATCTAGGTAGTGTTTGGTTCTGTTTTGGAATTGTGATTCCAATTAAAAAATTTCAAAACTGTTTTCAAAACTCATAACCAATCAAATTTTCTCAAAATTCAAAACTCAATTCAAAAACTATTTTCAAAACTTATAACCAAACACATAACTCAAAACTTAAAATTAAACTTTTTTCAAAACTCTATTTAAAAAAAAATTCATTTTTTTAATTTTATTTTTTAAAATCATGATTTGAGTGTAGAGTCGTGTTTTGAGTTTAGTTTTGAAAAGAAAAAATTTGTTTAATTATAAGTTTGAAAAGAGTTTTGAGTTGCATTTCGAAAATTTTTGGGTTTATTTATTTTAAATATTTAAAAATTTTCTTAATTTTATTTTTTTAGGGTAAATATTTTATATTTTAAATATTTATTTATTTATTTTAATATACATTATATTTCATACATTTGTGTGCTATATTTTTTTTGTTAAATATTTTAAATATATATATTTTTAAATATTTTAATTTTTTTTTGTTATGTGTTTAGTTACGATTTGAGTGTGAAGTTTTAAAAGAAGTGTGTAGTTTCGAGTTATATATTTGGTTATAAGTTTTGAAAATAGTTTTAGAATTGAGTTTTGAATTATGTGTTTGGTTACGATTTGAGTATGGAGTTGTATTTTGATTTTAAAATATTGAAATTAACATATTTACAAAATTAAATAAAAATATTTAAATAAAAATTATATATTTAAAAAAATTAAATTATATATTTATAAAAATTAATATTTTCTTAAACATTTTTTAATATTTAAAAAAATAAATCCAAAATATTTCAAAATACAACTCCAATTCAAAAATTCAAAACTCAAATTTTTTTTCAAAATTTAAAATTTAAAAATTATTTTGAAAACATTTTTCAATTTTTTTTTCAAAACTCATAACTAAATAAATTTTTTCTTTCAAAACTCAACTCACAATTTCACAATTAAATTACAATTTTACACTTAAATCATAATTTCAAAACTAAACCAAACGGAGCCTAATTTGTGGCAAAATTTTATAGTGAAATAAAATATTAAAATTATTATTTTTTAAAATAAAAAATTTAATACAAACAGTTTTTTTTTTTTTAAAATTACTTTCAAATATATATTTTTTTGGGTCACAATAAAGTTTCTTCCCAGCAGAAGATTCAAACACCAAAAACCATTTTTTTGCTAAGATTGTGTATTATATACAAATTTCCCAAGAGAGAACTGATTTGCCTAAGCCCCTTAAAAAAAGAACCATTTCCGCAGAGCGACTCAGATTTTTAGCTCTTCGTGCAGAGCCCATTTGCTCTTGCGCTGTCTCTCTCTCTCTCTCTCTCTCTCTAAGCAGTTAAAATGCATTTCTAGAGAAATTTTTTTACAGTTTGTACCTATACAGACACAAAGAAAAATCTCTTCTCGTGTTTTCGTGACAGATCAAGAGTTTTTTTTCGATTTTTTGTATGATGATGATTCTGAACAGTTGCTCTCAAAAACCCTAGTTTTTGAAAAATGGAGTTCGTGGGGAGGACCGTGGGGAAGAAATTCAAAGGGTCCGAGGCATGCGCAGGAGTCGTGAATTCCTACGACCCCTCAACTGGGTCCTTGGAAGTTGTATACGAAGATGGCGATTCTGAGTATTTAGAGTTCTCCGAGGTTGCTTTGCTCTTGGAGCTAGAGGCCACCAAGAAGCCTTGTAGGGTCGGCCGGAAGCCTAGTAAACGTCGTCGTTCTGGAATTCGTGGCGATTCAGGTAACAGTTGTGCTAATTTGATGAGTGATAGTTGTTTGACGGAAGTGATTCTGGGTCAGGGTGGGGTGAATCAAAAGGGGATTTTTGAAATACTTGAGAATGGATGTGGGGTTGGTGATAATTTAAAAGAAACTCTTCCTGTCAATGGGAATTTGGGTAATGGGTTGAATTTGAATGATGGGTTGGATTTGAATGATGGTTTTAATTTAAATGATGGGTTTGATTTAAATGTTAATGGTGAAGAACATTTGAAGAAAACTGCATGTATTGATCTAAATATGGATGCAAATGGTGACGTAGAAGAGAATGTAAAAGAGGGTGATCAGGGGGTTTCTGTTGTGGGAACCCAGAAGAGAAAGCATTGTTTTGATTTGAATTTGGGTTTAGATGGGGAGATCAAGAATTCAGATGTTGACTGTGAAGTACAATTGAAAGAGAACACTTCATTTCATGTAGTTGAAGAAACCCAAAAGCAGGAGATGAGTAGAGATGTTGAGGAAGATCGAATGAAAGGTGATAGCAAAAATGAGCTGGAAGCTTGTTTTGAATTTAGTGGAGGTACTCAAATGGAGGCTATTGGTAGGTCTGTTGAGAATGTAGTGAGAGATTCATTTTTAGGGTTGATGGAAGAAGTTCAAAAGGAAAATGGTGTTAGTGGAGGGTTAGAAGGAGGTGATAGTTCTGGACCTATGGATGCCAAGGATTTTAGGTCTTCTGAAGTTCAACTGAACGAGGGACTTCATGACACTTGCTCTTCGCTAGATCATGTTTATCAAGGCAATTCTGGAAGCACATGCAAAGAAAGAAAGAGAAGAAAGAGAAGGAAACTTTCAGATAATGTTAATTCTGCTACAGAAACTGTGTTGAGGAGAAGCAGACGCAGACTAGCTGAAGAGAGAACCAAGAAGAGGGAACATTGTTTTGATTTGAATTTGGGCTTGGACGAGGAGTTCAAGAATTCAGATGCTGATCATGTAGTTGAAAACACCCAAAACCAGGAGACAGGTGGAGTTGTTGAGGACACTCAAATGGAAGGTGATGGGAAAAATGGGGAGGGAGCTTGTTTTGAAGGTAGTGGAGGAACTCAAATGGAGGCTATAGATTCAGGTGTAGGGTTGATAGAAGTTCGAAAAGACAATGGTGTTAGTGAAGGGTGGAAAGGTGGTGATACTCCTGGATCTATGGATGCTAATGATTTTATGCCTTCGAAAGATCAAATTAAGGAGGGACTTCCTGACACTGGCACTCCACTACCTTATGGTTATCAAGGCAATTCTGGAAGTACATGCAAAGGAAAAAACAGAAGAGAGAAGAGGAAACTTTCAGATAATGTTTACTCTGCTACAGACACACTGTTGAGGAGAAGCAGTCGTAGATTGGCAACCACTTTTTCTTCTCAAAATCATGTTTCTAGTGGAGCAATGTTCTTTACATACAATGAGGCACATGCATCTCTTGCAGTTAGTGCAGTATTGGAGGAACAACCTACAACCTCAGGTCGTGAAGAATCCGAAGAATACACTTTTCTTCCTTCAAAGCTGCAGTTACCCCCTTCTTCAGGAAACTTGAACTTAGATGGGATTCCCATACTTGATCTTTTCTCAGTTTATGCTTGTTTGAGATCATTTAGTACATTATTATTTTTGAGCCCCTTTGAGTTGGAGGATTTTGTGGCAGCTGTGAGAGGCGAAGTTCCTAACTTATTATTTGATTTCATTCATGTTTCTCTTTTGCAAACTCTGAGAAAGCATTTGGAATTTCTTTCTGATGAAAATTCCTTATCTGCGTCTAGTTGCCTCAGGTACTCTATCCTCCCTTCTTGCTGAATTATTGTCCTTCTCTCTGTTTGAATCTTCTTCTTGTGCTTATTTACTTTATATTTTTAATTGTAGGAGTGTTAACTGGGATTTGCTGGATTTGATCACATGGCCTGTCTTTATGGCTGAGTATCTGCTTACGCATGGTTCTGGATTGAAACCTGGTTTTGATCTTTGTAAATTGAAGCTATTTGAGAGTGATTATTACAAACAACCAGCAGTAGTAAAAATTGAGATACTTCGTTGCCTCTGTGATGATGTGATTGAAGTGGAAGCCATAAGGTCAGAGATTAACAGGAGAACACTGGCAACTGAACTGAATATGGATATTGATCGGAGTATGAGGGTTGAGACTTCTAAGAAAAGGACTTCAATGGATGTTTCTGGTGGTTCTTTCTTGACTGAGGAGGAGGTTGATGTTGCCACAGACTGGAACAGTGATGAATGCTGCCTCTGTAAGATGGATGGGAGCTTAATATGTTGTGATGGTTGCCCTGCAGCATATCATTTGAAGTGTGTAGGAGTTGCTAATAGTCTCTTGCCAGAGGGTGATTGGTATTGCCCTGAATGTGTGATTGACAAAGATAAGCCCTGGCTGAAACTGGAAAAGTCACTTCGTGGGGCGGAGCTATTGGGAGTTGATCCTTATGGACGACTATATTATAGCAGCTGTGGCTACCTATTAGTGTAAGTTTTTGTTTCGCATAAATTTCGCAAAGCTTGATTATCTCTGTTCATTTTATTGATGAGTAGGCTTATATTGCATAAAAACTTAGGACAGACGGAAGTAGTTAATTTTTGGAAATTTTCATATGGCCAAACCAACTTCATTTAATTCAAAGATAAAACGAAAATGTAACACTACACTAATTTTTAAGGGGAAATAGCATTTTGGTGGGATAGTCCCAAAATAATTGCACTATACATGAGAATCTTTTAGGTGCATAGAAAAGACTGCACCTTGCACATGATTGGACTTGCACCCATACAGGATGGAGTTGCACCCCCATGAAAATGAGATTATTTTACCACAATCCAACTGGTTTGTAGTTTCCCCAATTTTTAAAATCTAAAGGAGGAGAATATAAATAAATTTATATTGTTTTCCTGTTTTGAGGATTCCAAGTTATTTTATATACACATTTAGGCCTCGTTTGGGAACATGCTAATTTAGTAACTTTTTGGCTATTTGGCTAAAAAGGTAGGTAAAAAAAACTTGTATGTTTGGGATGACTTTTTGGCTAATTACGAAAAGATGTGCAAAAAGTAGAGAGAAAAGAGAATCTTTGACTTTTTGGTATGGGTTGTTGGCTTTTTGGCTAATTTAGTAACTTTTTGGCTAATTGGCTAAAATAGCCTCTTGCCAAACGAGGCCTTAATGTGTTTCATGTGTGTCTAAGTGCTACACACATGTTCTCAAATGTCTAAAGAGTGTCCGAGTTTGGAAGATTTTGAAAAATACTAGGACATAATTGGATGTGTGTTCGACAGGTGTCGAGAGTGTCTTGTTGTGTCGTTGTCTGACACGACGTACCTGTGAGAATATATTGTATATATTCTAGAAATATATTGTCTATATTCTAGATTTGATATAATTCTGATTGTATATATATTAGGCATTGTTGTGATTATGTAAATCTTATATTTCCTTTTTTGGTTTAGGAGTTAGGGTTATATAAACTAAGATCTTGATGTAATCGAAATACACAAGTTGAATATATTATTCTCTTTAGAAAACTTACATGGTATCAGAGTCGTTCTCTGATCCGAAACCCTAGAGCCGTCACCATTGCTCTCTTGTTTGTGTTCGTGCTTTCTTCTCTTAGGTTCATCGTGGTTCGACTTGGGTGTGTGACCCATCACTCATCTGTTTGTGACTTATCTACCTGTGATCGTGCCTCGTCTTAGTTGACCTATCTATATTTCCTCTTTATTCGTGCTATCTGGTAGTCGCACCCGTCAAGTGGTTCGACTCCTCACAACTCGGCTTCTCTCTCTGGCTCTCCTTCGTGGTCGCCCATCTGGTTTCTAGCTCGTGAACATTAGCATCGCGACTCTTTCTCTTTGTTTCTGGTTCGCGATTGTGTTCGCACTCATACATCTACATTTGCGTCTTCGTCTTCGACTTTGACTTCGGATTTTGGTTCGTCTCAGACTCTCTTTGGTTTGTCTTCTTCAAACTCTCTTTGGTTCTCAATTTGTTCGATTTCAGGCTTATTACACTACAACCCCCAAGGTTTTCTATTTATTATAATTTGTTCCATATACTCTTTTCTTTTTCTAGTTCATTACAATGTCGGAAGATAAAATTCAGGCAATCAAACTCAAACTCACTAGTGTCAATTATGCTTATTGGTCCAATGTTATGAAAATTTTTCTGCTTGGTTGAAAAAAATGAGGATATGTTTATGGTTCGGTTCCTCGTCCATTGGACCTGAAACAAGAAGGATATCTGACTTCCTGTGACACTTCGGATTATGATAATGCCTAAGTATTGACTTCGTTTCATAATTCTGTGGATGACTGCATTGGAATGATGTTTTCCAAATATAGTATTGCCAAGGAGGTGTGATTATTTATTGGACGTTTGTCAGCAGTCTAACTTTGCCAAGCAGTATGAGTTGGAAATAGTTATTCAGAGTGCTCGTCAGCGAGACCAGACTATTCAAGATTTTTATATTGAGATGACAGGTCTCTGGAATCAGTTGGGTCTCATAGAACCACTTAGCCTAAATGTAATAGACGCTTATGTTGAGTTTTGAGAGCAGGGTCGTTTAGTGCAATTCTTAACGGCTCTCTCCCCTCAGTATGAGGCTATTCATGGTGACATCCTTCATCGGTCTCCTCTTCCCTCTATGGATGCTACTGTTCGTGAGTTCCTTTCTGAGGAAACCTGTTTTAAGATGGCCAGTTAGACTTTGCCTCCCTTTGTCTTCTTGGCTCCTGCTAAGCCTCCTTTGTTATCAACCCCACCTTTTCATCATCTTCCGGCTATTGCGAAGGCCAAGAAGGGGCCATTAGGTCCAGACGAGTGTGCTTTCTGCCACCAGAGGGGTCATTGGTAGTCCAACTATCCCAAGAAGGGACATCAGGCTACTCCGTCTCAGACACAGTTTTGCGGTATTGCTCTGAGTACTTTCCGGTCTCCTGTTGTTTATACTGCATTTGCTCCGGCTTCAGATCTTGGTTTAGCTTCCTTGAGTGCTCAGATTGCTCAACTTCAATCTCAGCCATCCTCTTCTGCTTTCGCTCTTACCTCTCTTTATTCAGGTTTGCTTGGGTCGTCTTCAAGTATCCCTTCTTCTGTCTGGTTTTTTGATTCTGATGCCTCTTATCATATGACTTCTCACATTTTCTTATTTTAAAACTGTATTTGCCCACCTCGTTCCTATTACTATTAATACTGCAAATGGGTTTGGTATGTTAGTTCTATCTATTGGGTCTGTCTTACCTTATGCTATGTCTGCTGTTACTATTCCTTTTGTTCTTTATGTTCCTCAACTATCTGTCAGTTTATTATCTATCAATCAACTTGATGCTTCTGGTTTTGATGTTATCTTTTCTTTTTCCGTCTGTAGTGTACAAGATCGGGTGTCCAAGAAGTAGATTGGGACCGGTCGTAGAGTTGGAGATCTCTATGTGGTAGAAAGCTTGCATCTCTCTTTATCTACCTCTCCAGTTGCTCTTTTCTCGTTTCAGTTAGATTCTCAGTCGAGTCAGTTTTACTTCTGACATTCTCGCCTAGGTCATTTGTCTGTTGATCGCTTACGGTATTTAGCTCAGTCAGGATTGTTGGGTAAAGTTTCTCCTAATCCAATTGATGAATGTCAGGGGTGTAAATTTACCAAAATGTCTTTTGTTGATGATTGCATCCGCTATACTTGGGTTTATTTTATGACTCATAAATCTGACTTTTACTTTTACCAAATCTACTGCACCTTTCAGTCTATGATCACTACACAGTTTGGGTCTACTATTAAATTGTTACAGTTTAACTTGAGTGGAGAGTATTTTAAAATTGAGTTCTGTGAGTATCTGACCAATTTGGGTACCATTTACTAAACTTTTTGTACTGATACACGGGCCCAAAATGGTCGTGTTGAGCTTTAACATTGTCATCTCCTTGAGACAGCTAAATCTCTCTTTTTTTCTACCTCTGTTTCGACTCCCTTTTGGGGGGAAACCGTTGTTATAACTGCCTTTCTTCTCAACCGTATGCCTATCCCCTTATTCTCTGGTCATTCTCCTTATGAGGCTCTGTTTTCCTAACTTCCCAATTACTCTCTTCTTCGTGTTTTTGGGTTTGCTTGTTTTGTCCTTCTTCCTCGGAAAGATAAGACAAAACTTAGTACTCGGTCTGTCCTGTGTGTCTTTTTGGGTTACAGTCTTACTCAGAAAGACTATCTTTATTATGATCCTGTTTCCCGCCGCCTTTATGTCTTTCGCTATGTTGCCTTCCTAGAACGTTTAGCTTACTTTCAACTTCCTCCTATCACTGCTCCAGTTTTTGAAGAGGATTTGATTCACATTGATCCATTTCCCTCTGAGGTCCCCTTTGATGAATGCATCTCTACTGTTCTCCATGTGCTTGTTCCCTCTTCCCCTTCACTACCCTTCTTGTTGAGTCCCTCTCCATTGTCTCCCATGAATCTGTTCCATCCTCTCCACCTCCTCCTCGCCTGCTTCTTTTTCTCCTCCGTTGTTAGTCTATTTTCGTTGCAAGACTCTCCCTCCTCTAATGGTCACTGCCCTTGTTGCTAATCCTCCTGCCTCTGACGACTCTGATTGTGCTACTCATAAGTATTCCTTTCGCATCCGTAAATAGGTAGTCAAACTTAGTTTTGCTAAAACATGTTTTTCTTCTTCATACTGTACGTTTTTGTCTGCTGTTCACGCTTTTTCAGAACTTTTGTCTTACAAGGAGGCTTGTCAATATCCTAATTGGATTCAAGTTATGGAGGATGAGTTGTCTGCCTTGCAGAAGACTAGTACTTGGGAGTTGGTTCCTTTGCTTGCTAGCAAGAACCTGATTGGTTGCAAATGGGTCTATAAAATCAAGACTCATTCTGATGGTTCTCTTGAGTGCTACAAAGCTCGTCTAGTTGTCAAAGATTTCTCACAGGAGTATGGTATTGATTTTAAGGAGACCTTTGCCCTTGTTGTCAAGATGACACTGTCCGTACTCTAATCTCTGTTGCTGTTGTTCATTATTGGCCTCTTTGTCAATGGATGTTAAAAATGTTTTTCTTAATGGCCATCTCACTAAGGAGGTTTACATGAGTCCTTCCCTTGGTCGTCATCATTCTTCTAGATAGATTTGTCGTCTTCGACATGCTTTGCATGGTTTAAAGCAATCTTCTCATGCTTGGTATGATCGCTTTCAGATAGCTATTATTGAGCTTAGGTTTCATCCTTGTGCCCTTGACTCTACCTTGTTTCTCCTCCACACCTCTACTGGTTTTGTTGCCTTATTACTGTATATGGATGATATGATCATTACTGACTCTGATTCTTCTGCTATTGCTGAGGTCAAGCTGCATCTCTTCTGCACTTTCGAAATGAATGATCTGGGACCATTCAGGTGTTTTCTTGGTGTTAAAGTGCTTTCTTCTCCCAAGGGCGACTTTCTATCTCAGGCCAAGTATGCCAATGAGGTTATTCACTGCGCCAGTCTTGCTGACACTAAG